CTAAAAGCATTCCACGAGCTGCTCAGTCCTACAAAATGCCTTGCTGTCACTCAAGATGAGGCTTCAGAAACGGATGAAGGCAGAACGGATGTCACTGCAACCCTCTCCTTACCCTTTTCCCCAAGGTATCTGCCACACTATCCCCAGAGCCATAGGACAAGCCAGAGTACCTGAGAGATTCACTGATCTGAACCGTTCCTATTCTTCCAAACCAGATGCAAGATTAGAATCTGGCCAGGTGAGGTGGTGCACATCTGTAATTCCGGCATTCAGGACTCTGAGGCAGGAGGATCACTTTGACTTTGAGGCCAAAGAGGGCTACATAGTAAGTTCAAGGACAGCCTAAAGTATGTAGTGAGACCTTGTCACAAAACAAAATAAAGATTCTGGAAATAGTGACATCTAGCATTAATTATGTTCTCAGAGCACTTGTCTTTTTTTTTTTTTTTTTTTCTTTCGGAACTGGGGATTGAACCCAGGCCCTTGCACTTGCCAAGGAAGTGTTTATTCCACTGAGCCATTTCCTGGCCCCATAAGAGCACTTGTCTTCTTGTTTTTTCTTTTTCAGTGCTGGGCACTAAATCCAGAGCTTCACAGAGCATTTTAGAGGCAAGCACGCGATCCCTGAGCTACACCCCAGCCCTGATCCCTTGCAATTTCCTTCCATCTCTCTCTATAACTGGAACTCTGTGCTCAGAGGTATTCCGTAGGGAGCTAGGAAAGGTGGGGAGAACCTCCCATTAGCCTCTGTCAGCCAGCCCCACTGCCTGCTCTCAGTCAAAGCACACACAGTGGCCTCTTGCCCAAAGCAGGCTATAAATGTTTATGTGTCACTGCGGGTGGACAAGACCGACTAGCCAGCTTCAGGAGCCTCTCAGCCATGACAGAGGGCAGCCGAGCATGGCAGTAGGAAAACAGCAAAAAGCCCAGGGGGAAGCAGCAGCTGCAGCTGCTAGCAAGCCTCTCTCCCCTCCTTACACTGTAATGCAGAGTACCCAACCCAGTGTGGGTGTAACACTCACACCCAGAATCTCAGCATTGGATTGTGAATTAATCACAAACTTTAGAAGCTGCCCCATGACTGGCTGAGGCTTCTGGGGGACACCTAGACACACACCATAACAATTCCCCTCCAAATACTCCATTCAAGCATGTTCATCCCCTCATTCTCGCCACTTTCAGAAGAAGCTCTGAAAATTCCCTTTCATGTCTTTGAGTGTGATCGAAACTACAGTGAACAGGCTGCTGAGTGCCATCCAACGGAAAGGCAGACTCGGCTCATAAAAACACAGTGGTGCATCCTCGTCCACATCATTCACAGCTCAGGAACCTGAGACTTCTTCCCCTTCCTCAAAGTCAAAACCAGCAGACGGTGAAAGTTTTGAATTGATTCAGACATGAATCAGCAACGTGACAGGTAAAGCCTCTTGCCAGAGGACTCCCAGCATTGCTTTAGAAGGGGACAAGAATGGTGAGTGTGCTTAAAGCAAAGGGTAGTGCTCTGAATGGAATTAATGGTAATATGCTGTAATAAAATATTTTCTTTAAACACCATTCCTTTCCATCACTCCTCATACCTTTAGGTCCGCACCCACCCAGGACTAAGGTCACTCACATCTGCTTGGCAGAATGCTTCATCCTCAGGTCTTGAGAAGCCTACAAGACCCAGGTCCAAGGTCCCAGGAGAAGGACCATGTGTGCAGCTGGGCTAAAAATGTTGGCCTTCCTTGTCCTCTGCTGCATTTTCTTACTGGCCAGCACCAATACTCTGTGTGCCCAGATGCTTTTATGTAGGGGTGCATGAGCCTTAAAATTCTATACATCCCTAGGGACAGCAAAGAGGCCAGAGTGATCCTCTGTGCCCTTTTCTAGCGTTTTCTGCTCTCCCACAAAGTGACACAGCAAGAGCCCCCATCACTTCATAGCAGCGCTTCCTGCGCCTTCCTGGCAGCCTATTGGGCCCTGTGGGTGCCACCCTGCCAATCGAGAGAGAAGGCAGATTGGGATATCTGCTCCTTTTGGGGAAATCAGCTTATCCTGCCTGCACTAACCTCTGGGACTCTGTGGTGGGCTAAGAGCTGCCCTGCCAAGCTGCCCGGCGTCTTCCTTGTCGTCCTTACCCTAGCACCCCCTCCAGCCATTCCCCACTTGCCATCATGGCAGATCTCCCATTTTGCTCCTCAAAATGTCCTCACTGGGACTGGTGAGGGACTCCCCTGGCAGGGTACATGACCAGCAAGTGGAAGGTCCTCATACAAACATCAGTGCATGTTATGAAGCCACAAAAAAAGGAAAAAGTGCTCAGGGGTAGTTTTGTCTAAATTCTGGCTCGATGTACAAATTCTTTTTTGTACTGTTTCATTTTACTTTTTTTTTTTTGAGACAGGGTCTTGCTATGTAGTTCAGGCTGGCCTTGAAGTCACAACATGGCCCAAAGTAACCTTCAATAGTCAGCAATCCTCCTGTCTCAGCATCCTGAGTACTGGGATTATGATCATGTGCCACCATGCCCAACTAGATGTCCAAATTCTTTAAGAACTCAAAAACATCAATGTCATTCCTTCCATGAGACCTAAGACAGGTTTGCTGATTCATCAGAAAGACCATCATGTTGCATACCCCTGTACAACACAATGTCCATTGTATTCGAGTCATGCTATGAGGCCACAATACCTAGTCGGTGGTGCAGGATGGGGGACAGCTGGTGATGTTGTACACACCATCCAGAAAGCAGCAGATAGTACCAACCGAGGCACCAGTATTAGAGGGGGCTTGGGAAACAACATCCCAAAATGTAGTGCTTGGCCTGCTGAGTACTGGGCAGTTTTAGAAGCAAAGTCTCTTTTTGACCTTTCCCCCAAAACAAGCCACAGACAGAATTTAAGGCCTCTTCTTCCTGAAGGTGGGCCATAGAACTACAAACCTTTCCTCCAAAGACAGCATAAAATATACAAACACTACTGGGACCCTCCCCCGCCTTTCTGTGTTAAGAGCTGGCCAAAGAGCTCCATGAGCCACCGAGTGCAGCAGATCCCCAGGGATCCTGTGCTCTACACAGGAGGAAGCACACACACAGCAAGGCCTCACGGAGGTTCCTGCCTTAATCTGCTGCTGGTAGGTTACAGCTTTCTGGCCCACTGATTTTCTACACAGTTGGTCACTCTTCATAAGCATTAAAATGGCAAGTTTTTCCTGGGTCTTAGGGGGTTGTAATTTATTTTTAGGGGGTTGTCATTTATTTTTAGGGGGTTAGGGGTGTAGTTCAGTTATAGAAGGCTTTGCATAGCATATGTGAAGACTTGAGTTTATCTCAGCACCGTGGAAAATTTAAAAATACATCAATCTGCTATGCTTTTTTCTTGTTAATGTCTTGTGTCACGTCTACTGTGACAGGATAGGTGTCACACCTTTCCGTCCCTGTACCAGCTTCCCCTACAGCGGCTGGCAGGGTCTAGCTGGTGGCATCAAGGCTACCTGTAACTTAGCAGTAGCCTGCTCACATTTCACCCCAGATCTGGAGTGGGCCTGACTCCCATGACCCCCCCAGAACCTACTCCATGCTCAACCCTTTGAAAGGGGGTGGGGGAGGCAGAGACTGTAGCTGTTAATTCAAACCAGGGAAACCCAGACACAGAACTGAAGAGTTTCTCTGTCTGAAAGACTCCTTCCCTGTGAGGATTTCAGCTTGGCTACTTGGCTTACTGCTCTCCAAGCCAGAAACCTATTTTCTTCACTCACTGCTGCATGTAAAAGGAGATGAAATGTACATGTGTGGGTTTGCAGTGAGCTTTTTCTTTTTTTCCTCTCTCTTAAGGAAAGTGGGGACAGAGAGACTCGGTGTGGTGGCACACGCTTGTAATCCCAGAACTTGGGAGGCTGAGGCAGGAGGACCATTGAATTTGAGATCAGCTTGGGCTACAAAGTGAGCTCAATGCCAGCCTGAACTGCACAGCAGACCCTGTTTCAAAAAGTAGGAAGTGGGAGAGGGGAGGACAGGGGCAGGACATGGAAAGAAGATATGGAAGCGAGGAGCCAAGGCTCAGTGGCCCTGGCCTGGGCTGTGGTGACACCAACCCATCTGGACAGATGACGTATGGCATCAGGTGGCTCCTGATGCCTATTCCCGTGCCCTTAGGGACTAAAACAAATGTTTATTTGCTGCTCCTCCTTAGGAAGAGAGGGGTTTAACAGGCCAAGATAGAAGGGTTCCTTGTAGGAGCCCACACAAAGTGCTGGAACACCTGGTGAACTGTAAACAGCACATCATTAATTGGCCTCGTAACCCTACATGAATGCAGACAGAAGGAGGCTGCCACTGGACACTGGTACCGTGGCCTGAGGTCATCGAGTACTCACAGGGGCAGCGGATGAGTTTCTCCAACAGAAGCTATGCTATGCTGTCTGTTTCCTAAAAAAGCAGAAAGGCAGAGAAGGTGGAAAGGTCTCTAGAATCAGCTAAGAGGACAGGATGTGTCTCGGGCACTATCTTTTTTTTTTTGTGGCAAATGTCCCCTACTTTCTCCTAGGTCCAGATACAAGACCACTATACTACCCAGTACAGCGGGGTATGAAACTTCAAGTTGAGAAAAAAGCAGAGACAGAGATAGAAACAGTCAGAAGCGCAGAGGAACAAATCAGACGCGGCAGATCAAATCTCCTTGGGGTGTCCATCCTAGTTGCCCCACAAATCCCCAACAAAGTCTGCCTTGTGACCAGATGGGACAAGGACCCTGTCGTGACAAAGCCTCTCGCTGCTGATCATGGCTCTCCTTTCACCAGGAACCTGTGGCTCTCGGAACGGAAGAGTGGAGGAAAGGAGGCATCCTGGCTACCCTGGCAGCGGCGAGTCACACCCCGGGGACACAGTGTCTGTACCCTAACTTGGACGGGGTGGGGGAAGACCTCCTCAGGCTACCACCTGGGCCCCAGCCCTTGCTCCTGCTCTCTCGGGGCGGGCAGGTCTCTCGGAGCCTCCGTCCCCCCGCTGGGTACGCACTCACCCACCGCCCTGATGCGGAAGCCTCGCGGCGGGCGCAGCGCTCGGCGGCACCAGGCGTCGCGCAGCACCTGCAGGCAGGCGGGCGGTCCGCGCACCAGCAGCACCGCGCGGCGCAGCCAGCCCTGGAAGGCCAGCCGCGAGGCGGCGCGCGCCAGCTCCGCGTCCCAAGAGCAGCGCGCGTTGGCGCGACGGAAGGCGCGAAACACCGAGCGCCCGCCGGGCTTCTCTGCTGCGCTGGCCGCCTCCCGCGCCTCCAGCCTGCCGAGCACTAGCGCCAGCGAGCCGGGCGCCAGCTGCACTGGCCGGGTCATGGCCGCAGCCAGCAGCCAGCAGCCTCGGCCACCCGCACGACCCGCGGGAGATGTGGGCGGACTTCGGGCGCCTGCACCCTGGCCCGGCGTAGGGGGCGGGCCAGGCCGGGTGGGTGGGTCGGCCGCTGACCCCGCCTGCGCGGGGGCCCGGGTCCATCCGGGTGCCGGGGCCCTGAGAGCGCACCGGAGGCGTTTCCAAGTCTTGGGGGAGCTCTGTAGCCCCTGAGAGCCCACCCGTCACTCCCGGAGTCCCCAGCGCTGGAGGAACTGGTTGTTTCAGCCGCCGTTTCTGCTTTGAGGTTGTTCTCCGTGTATGCCAGGGTGGCGTCGTGGGGGTCGCCTTGGCCAGGAGGCAGGAGACCGTGGTGTGAGCCTCGGTTCTGGTCCGAACCAGTGTGGGCAAGATATTTGCTTCTTTGTCCCCCAAACTAGCCAAAGCCCTCATTTTACAGAATAACCTGAGGACTCTTTCATCTGTGGCGTTCTAGGATTTGCTCCTGACACAGGCTCCATATTTTTGAGAAAGAAAGGAAAATTGTGCAACTGTTCCCCAATGGTGAGGCGAGGCGCAAGACAATAAGCGTGGAATAGCCTTGGGTTGTAGGGGCGGATTTGGAGAAGACAGACCAGTCTGCATAGGAGCTCCTGGGGCAAAAAGGACAGACAGTGTGTAATCTCTGATCGTCTGGAGATTGGTGGGTGCCTCAGAGCAATAAACCACAATCCGACTATCTGGCAGTCTGGGTAGGTGTAAGGAAGGAAGAGGCTGGAACCCTGACTGGGTCCAGTGCTTTAGGCAGCTAAGTTAGACAGAAATATTATAGGCAGTCAGACAAGGATAGGCCCTCAAGGAGACAGCGCGGAAGATGAGACATGTTGCCAACTGTGAAGGAAAGGGATGTTCTTGCTGTGGGCCACACCTAAAGACCAAAGATCAAACAAATGCTGACCTCCCTAAAGGTAAGCCTCCAGGATTGATCATCACCAGGAGGAAGCCAGGAATCCAACTATTAACCTGCTGGCTACTAGATAAAGTCCTGTTCTAAATTCATGCCCGCTTGCTACATGACTTGCTTCCTCATTTGGTCCTGGACTTAATTTTATCTGAGCAATGGTGCTTGTAATCTCATTGGTTGACCATAGTTTTGTCACCATTTCATGTACACTTGAGTTCCAATTTTTTCCACCTTAAACCCACATGGGATTGCCCTGTAAAAATAACCCAGAAGAGACAGCTTCCTGGGTAACTTGCTCAGGTCCCCCTTCTGTACCTCTCTTGGACAGAAGCTTTCTTTCCCAAATAAAAGTTCTGCTCTAAACCTCTCTTGGCTCCTAAAATTCATTCTTTGGTTTTAGAGAACATGAACTCACCTTTCAGATTGGGAGTTTCATTCCCTCATATCATTTGGAGGTTCCAAGTGAGAACTCCTTCAGGAAGAAGCATTTGAAGAGCAATCTCAGAGCCAGGCACGCCAAAATGCCAACCTCCTGCGAGGCCTAGGCAGAAGGGTCATCAGTTTGAGTCCAACATGCATATGCAAATATTTTAAAGTGTAAAAAATCCTAAATCCAAATAATTTCTGGATAAGGGATACTCGAATATTATCACCTCTGTTTTTTTCACAGATAAAGCACATCTAGTTGTGTTTAATATTTTCCAGTCAGAGGATAGTAAAAAATGGGAGTTAGGTAAATTGGGTTTCCTTCTGTCTGACAGTTAAACCCGATTTAATGGTTTTTAAAAAAAATTATTTGACACAGAGTATCACTAAGTCACTGTGCTGCCCAGGGAGAGGGCCTTGAATTTGTGATGCATCTGCCTCAGCTCCTCAGGGTGCTGGGATTACAAGTATGCACCACTTGTGGCTGTTTACATTGTTTCTTTTGCCTGCAAAAACATTTGCCCTTTGCTTGCCATGAGATTGCCACAAAATCTCGCTCACAAAATCAGAGAGAAAGATCTAGAAAGATCTGCTTTCCTCTATGTGCACTGCTAACACTTCCCTAACACTTACAAGAGGTATAGTATTCAGGTATCTGTCTCATCAGGAGACTTGCATGTGGTTCCTTGTGAATCACACTCTGGCCTGAGTCATCCCAATGTCTGGAACATAATCTGGTTCATCCAGAATCCAATCTGGTTAATTAGTACTTGATGCAGAGTAGCGCTGTCAGTGTAGTCTTCTCACCAGCTGGTGTCACCGCACAGGAGAGCACATCCGACTCAAGTGGTCATCCAGTGGTCAGTGGCCAAGGCAACAAGCAGCTCCTTCCCCTTGATGTGTGGTTCCAGTGGTTTCTTTCAACTGGTTATAGCACTCTATGTCAGAGTAAGGATGATGTTTGCTTCCAAAGTTTGTTTTCACACCAAAGTTCATCGGCTAAAGTTCCCTTCCCTTAACTCAGAAAATCAAGCCTTGCTCTTTAAGACTGACTTAGAAAGCACCTCCAATCTGGTTTCTCTTTCTTATGTGCTCCTATAGCACACTGCTTTCCTTTACCAGAAACCAAACAGGCAAACCTAGAGACTTGTTTGCCTTAGAAAGAGAAAAGTGAGCCTTTGCCAAGCAACTGTGTTTATTGACTCAAAGTATAGAGAAAAGGAGGTGAGGGGGAGGGGATGTCAAGAAAAAAATAAGACACAGAAAGTGGTAAGGAAGAGTATTTGTGGGGGGGGGTAAGTCAAGAGCCAGTCATACTGGTGCACTCCTATAATCTCAGTACTCTGGTAAACTGAAGCAAGAGGATCACACATTCTGGCCCAGCCTGGGTAATTTTATTTATTTCATTTTTTTGGCAGAACCAGGGATTGAACTGAGATCCTTGCGCTTGCCAGGGAAGTACTTATTCTACTGAGTCATCTGCCCAGCCCCAAATCGGTTTGTTTTTTTTTCTCCAGAACTGGGGATTGAACTCAGGCCCTTGTGCTTGTCAGGGAAGCACTTATTCCACTGAGCCATTTCCCCAGCCCCAAGCCTAGGTAATTTTAATGACTGAGTGAGATCTTGTCTCAAAATACAAAGTGAGAAAAACAGGCTGAGCATGTCATTCAATGTGAAGGTTGTGGGTTCAATCCTCAGTACCTCAAAAATACATCCTTCTATACCTCCTGACATACATCCATACACGGGGAGGCATGGAGATGGTATAGGGACCAGTGGGGCTTGACTCTGACTCCAGCAAGAACAAGTAAAGAAAATGCAGCTGTTTTTCTGCATGTGAGACCATCAAAGCCAATAAGCTTTCTAAGGCAAATGAGACCTTACCACTCCATCACCTCATTAAAACTCAAAGCACACTTCTCAGCCTGAAAATATGACTTCCTAAAGGAAAGGCAGAACACTGGTTCATCAAGCAGTGTGCAAGGAAGAACTCCAGAGTCAAACAAAGTCAAATAAGCGCATGCGCGTGCACACACACACACACACACACACACACACACAGAGTAGGGGAGTATGACTATATGGAGGCCTAAGGCAAGATGCCAAGTTGCAGTTTCAGAGTTTTTACAGAGAAATCACATTTGCCCCCAGTGGTGTTACAGCAGAGGGTGGAAAGCTTTGGATTGTATCCATTTATATTATATTTCCTCCAAAAACATCCCGGCTCCCCTCTGGTGCCCAGTTCACAGAGGAATTGTTCCCTGTGAAGCCCCTGCCTCCTGGTCTGAAGTTTTACTTCTCTGCTACAGGGAAAAGGGAGAAAAGATGCTAAGGCACCTCCTCTCCACACTTTGAAATTATTATGATTGATATGGGTGACTGAACCAGGAAGTACTGAGCTATATCCTCAGTTCTTTTTGCTTCTCATTTTGAGACTGGCTCTGGTTAAACTGCCCAGGCCGGCCTCACACTTAGTTCTACCTCAGCGTCCCTAGTGGCTAGGCTTACACGTGTATGCTACCGTGCCATTATTTTAAAGCTTCCTAGTAGCACAGCCTAAGACTCCTGAGTCAGCTCTATATCCTCTAGAACAAGCCCACAGTACTCCCTCAAAACAAGAAAATGGCTTCTTGAACAAAATAGTAAAGGACAAAGTTGTGGCCAAACAGACTTAGTGCAACATGGGAGCTAAGTCAAACATAAGAGGTTTTAGAGAAATACTGTAGCACAATAGTGATGAATACATTGAACCTGCGCACTCTGGATACTACTTGGGTAGTAAAGGAGCAGGTATGGTGGTCTATACATGCCTATAGTTTTTGAAACAGCACAGCCTCTTCCATGAATTCAGACAAGAAAAGCCAAAGAGGGGACAGTATTGGGAAGCCTATGAATTAAAAGTGATTTAAGAGTTATAATACGAGGCACAGTAGTGTAGGCCTGTAACCCTGGCACTCTGGAAGCTGAGGCAAAGGGATCAAAAGTTTGAGCTAAGACTGGGCACCTTAGTGACTTAGACCCTGTCTCAGAAGGGTGAGAGGTCATAGATACAGCCTAGTGAAGAGGTACTAGATTAAATCCCTAGTAACACACATGTGCGTGCGCGCACACACACACACACACACACACACACGTGTCAAATAATGCAATGGAAAGGGTGGAGCCTATTGGATCCTAATTTAAAGGATGTGTCTTTTTTCTTTTTTGAGACAGTCTGGCTATGTTCTTTAGGGTGACCTTGAATTCACTCTGTAGCCTTGAGCCCATCCGTGGTGATGCTTCTGCCTCAGCCTCCTGAATGCTGGTATTATGTGAGTATGCCAGCATATCTGGCTTTGAAGACTGTAAATTTATGACAGACAAATATGAGTAATGGATATTTAACATAAAAAATACAGGGGGAAATGAAGATAATGTAAAATGTGAATTTATGAACAAACCAATACCCTCCTAAAGTACTTTGACCTTTCATATTTTATTTTTTGTGCAGTACCAGCCTTTTTCATTTTTTGGGACAAAGTTTGCTAAGTTGCCATTTGGGCTCAAATCTGTGACCTTTCTACTCCATCCTCCTAAAATGCTGAATTATAAGCATGTACTACCGTGCTTGGGTCTTATTTATTTATTTACTGTCTTTTTGAGA